AACATAAGACAAATAATCCATCTGCATCAATCTTTCCGTGCAATACATAACAGACTGTGGTCTCACACAAATTTATTTTAAGAGTTAGGACTTCCCCTTACAAGAGCAATAGCAAGAAATTCCTCCATTTCTTCCATCTCATTTATTCAGTGTTAGTCAGCAGATTTTTATAGCTTAAAGGAACCATTTCAGTTTCATTTAACAAATTAATTGCAGTAGTTTGAAAGCACACTCTTGTGTATTATTCTTATTCAATTGTTGATGTTGATTTATTCTGTATGGTGCTCTGGTAGAATAAAAATGAAACATAGTCATGCTTTTAAAACCAGTAACTTTTACCCTCATTAAAACAGCCATTTAGGGTTGGGGATTTAGCTCAGTGGTTCCACTGCCTGCCTCGCAAGCACAAGGACCAGAGTTTGATCCCTGGTACCCCCAAAAATAAAAAATTCAATTAAAAAAAACAGCCATTTAGATTATTTAGTAGGTCCTGACTTAAATTAAATAATGGCTCCTCAGAGATCACATTTTTCTGCCTAAAAGATATTGCCCTATTCTATGCATTTATGTAGGAGTCATGATGGATAAGTTCTTCCTTGTATTCTATTAAGAAAATCTCTTCTTGTACCATTAGAAATTGTAATAGTTAACATGCCAATGATGCTAGCCCATGAATAAATTTATGCCCTGGCTCATAGATAAGATTAGGACAAAAACCAAAAACATTTAGGCAAGAGTCGTTTTAGGCAGATAGCCTTTTAAAGACACTAGCTATAGTATCTAATTTGGAAAACAACAACAACAACAAAAAGAACCCCAAAATACTAAGCATGGAAATTTGAGGTTATTATTACTATTTTCATTGTCGTCAGACATGTACCAACAACTGAAATTTCATGGAATTGTTATATAATTACTCTTAAAATGTAGCAGTTATTTTGAGGTATAATTCACATACCATACAGTTTACCAACTCAGTGGTTTGTGGTATATTTAGAGAGCTTTATAACCATTATCACAATTGATTTTAGATAATTTCCATCATCCCCAAAAGAAACCCTGAACTCATTAACACTAATTTCCTATTTCTCTCCCAAATCTCCCAACTCTTGGCAACTACTAATCTATTTTCTGTCTCTGTGGATTAGACTAATTTGGATATTTCAAATGAATCGAGTCATAGCCTCCATTAAGAGTACTTTCAGTAACTAAGTTTATGTTTTCAAGGTTCGACCATGTTATAACAGAAAACAGTACTTCATTCCCTTTTATGTTTAAACAGTACTCCATTGCATAGCTATACTACATTTTGTTTAGCCATTCATTAGGTAGACATATGGGTTTTATTTTTCAGCTACTTTGAAAAATGCAGTTATATGTCTTCATATACAAGCTATGGTGTCAAAATACATTTTCATTTCTTTTAAACATATACCCAGGAGTACAAATGCTGAATCATCTCATGATTTATGTTAAGGAACCATCAAAATATTTTCCAGTACATCTGCACCATTTTACATTCCTACCAGCAGTGTGTGAGGGTTCCAATTTTTTTACCTCCTTGCCTGTGTCCATTACTATATTTGCGTATGAAGTGGTGTCTCATTGTGCTTTTAATTTGCATCTGCCTGATGACTAATGCCATGGAGTGACTTTTTATATGCTGTTGGCCATCTGTATATCTTCTTGGGGGAAACATCTGTTGCAATCTTCTGGCCATATTTTAAGTTGGATTTTTGTATTTATTACTAAGTTGTAAGAATTCTTTGTGTACTCTTTATTCAAGCCCTTAACCAAATATATGACTTACAAACATTTTCTCCAATCCTGTGGGACATCATCACTCTCTTGGTGGCTATAGCTATATGTCTCAATGTTCTTATCCTGTAGGACATTGTGTGCTTTAAACTCTTCCACCCTGAATTAGTTTCTGCTCCTCTTTCCTTAGCTGCCCACTACAACAGTAACTGTCACAGTGTATTGATATAAGTTTAGGATTTATCTGCCCTATCAAAAGCAGTTGTATCTTACAAAATTTTGTATATGCAGTGCACAGAACTCTGGTGCATAACAAAAAAATGAGGGTTCAATAGTCATTAGAGTAAATTGAACCTTGAATGTGAAAAAGAGAAAAGATCTAGGTCAGGACTGACCTAAGGAAGTTGACAGGAAGGCCCTTAATAGACTGTCTAGCTTCAGCCACTTGTGTTCTCCCTGCAGGATTCCTAGCATGGAGCCCATTACAGGCTGCTTTCATCTGTTAAATCGAGTGAAGTCATATGAATATATGAATAGAGCTTTATCATTTGTACAAGAAGGTGACTTGGTGTACAATGCTGCCTCTTGGTGTGGTCTAAGAGATCCCAACTTTTCTCCTCCTAACAGTATTTCCTATGGTAGTAGTTTTCCATTGATTTTTAAAAAATGGATCTTTGTAATGATCTTTTCCCTGTTTGCCCTAAACCTTTCTAAATTGAAGAGGTAATTGGATGATTCTCCTCCATTTTTGAAGGATATTTTATTTTCTCACAAAGATTCTGTACATTCTGTCTCTCTGCATGTCACTGTTGTTGAAAATGTTGCAGTGTCATATTTTGATGAGAAAAATGGCATAACATGAAGTAGCAATTACTCCCTCTAGAATGAAGATACAGATTTAATTGTTTAAACGTAGTCCTTCTCAGAACCCCTTAATTCTATTTTTTTTTTTTTTTTTTTTTTTGCTCAGT